ATCGATAGCGATAAATCATGCAGAAGTCTATTAGAAGAAGTATTTTTTTGAACTGTGCATTAAACAAGTACCTTTTCACTTCCATTTCCAATGCTCTCTTCTAATGACATAAGCATGCTCCGCTTACTTTTATAACAGTTAATTTTGCAATATAATTAGTACCAATATTTTACATTAAATTCCCCGACTTTGCCTTGTAATATGTGGTGTACATTTTTTAATTACTTCCTTCCACAAATAATAAAATTAGTTAAATGTGTGGGATAAATATGGACAAATGCTCGTTACCAGAAATTCCATGGTATTGCAATCGTTTCGCCGACCCATATGGCAAGTACTTCTTCACACAAAAGATTTAAATAGTCAAATATGTAGTAGCAAACGTCTGTTACCTTCGTATTCTTCTCTCTTTGTGGCGTATCGCGTAAAAGTTGCAAGTCACAAAGACACGCAACTCATAATGCGAATACAATTAATTTGTCACAGTTGTACATAGCCGCATAGCCGCATGCATTCATTATCATAGCCAGCCAACAGAACTGAGGCAGCCAGTAAAACGCCCACTTTGCAAATTAAAAAATAAAAGGAATATGGTCTAGCTACAACGCGCTGGGTGCTCTACTGAACGGGATAATGTTTTAAAAAGCTGTGCACGCGTAAATCCATACATGCATATGTACACATGTAGATGTATGTGTGTATGAATGCAAGTCTCTAGCGTCCGTTGGCATAATGGGTGAAAAGTCGACGAACTTTACACACACACAAAACAAAAAACAACATTGAATTAAACTTTATTTAAACTTCGACATGAGGTTTGTGAATAATTGTGAATTTGTAGGCACGCTACTTATATTTGACCAATAAATGAATGAGTATGCAGGTGCATAAGTAGCACCACTGGTGTTAGGCCTGCGTAGCCACGGTATTTTATTTCGCTGGACTATGTGTATATAGTTCCATTGAATGTAATATTCACCGTCGCCAATACGTAACGCACCGCAAATCTTCCACAAAACGTTTTACTCGAATACTCTAAAGTCACGATGAGTAACTTATAGTTTGGCTTTTGTACGTCGGGAGAGGATTTTACACTAAAATTGCCTACTCAGTCCAAAGCAGCACTTATTGGTAAGGGTGATTCTATTAATGCTGGTTTCCAAATAAATGAAGTCGCCAACTTTTTTTAAACTTGTTTACTTCGCCTTGTTCTCGCCTTGTTAACACCACCAGACACATTCGCTTTGCTTCTATATCCAAAATGGAAAATGCAGAACACAAAGTTCGTTTATTGAGGCCAATCTTATACAAAATTCTGCCTGAGCTTATTCAGTTCTGCAGCTGTTATTATCTTCTGAAACATCAAACTTAACGAATCACACAAAAAAGAGCCGCGCTGTTTTAAAGCTCGTTAGGTATTAAACGGCTCGGAAAAGTTCTTCCTAATTCTGCCAGAGCTGGCTGTATTTTTAAACGGCCGTATTACTTTCGCGGGGATACCAAATGCAGGCATCGCGACGTATAGGCAACTCATTTTATATATATAGCGGCTTTTAAATCGACTAATAGATCGCTTGTTTCGCTGCTCTACTTGCTAGTATATGGCAGACCCTGATAATCCACAATCACTTCGTTGACGGTGGACTTCAGCCTTTCTCCCAATACGCGTGATAACACCTTGGCTCAGCTGGCAGGCCGTTTGATCCAATAGTTTTTTCTTCAGTAGGACATCGGCCCGGACATCTTCGACTGGGGACTTGGGTTCATCTGCTCCGCTAGCTTCAGTGCTGATACCATTAAACAGGATGGAGAAGTGTTCCTTCCATAATTTAAGCATGCTCTGAACATAGGTCACTAGGTCGAAGTGTTTGTTCTTACAGGAATTCTTCCTGGCATCGAATCGTCTCATACGATAGCGCACCACTCGTTACGTAAAAGCACATTTTTCGGATTATGAAATACGTGAACGTACTCTTTGTCCCATTCAGCTTATATTGCCTGACGTATCCTGTTTTATTTTCTTTCGTATCGTTTTCGATCCGTGAACGGATGTTACGATTCGAGCCCTGATCTTGAACCCTTCCGCATGTCGCACTCGTCTCGTTTGCCTCCTCAGCTCCCTCATCGTCCTTCTTTGCCGTCGGGGTAAATGAGCGAGATGTTGAAGAATTGAGGCAGATTGTGGCAAGATGCATCTCTATCATCACAAATCCAACACCGAATTTGCGTCTCTTTACATAGCAGCTGTAGTAGACATTGCAAGGCTCCACCTGTTCTGCCTTGACCCGTTCTTGGCAACTCTTGGATGGCGGTGATGCTAGCCTTTGCCTTTCCAAGGACGTCAACCAGCCGTTCAGAGGCACCTTCCCCATTAAGGGTCCGGACATTCCAGATGCATATCCTCAAATCACAGTCCTTTAAAGAATTGTCGTAGTCGTTCTCAAAAGAAGGAGGGATTAAGGAAAAATTTTGTATGATTATGAAAAATTGTATCGCATGAAGTTTATGCGCTTCTGGTCACAGCGCATTACCAGTTCTGAAAGCACACACATATGTATGTATGCTTAGCTCAATAGGTACTTAGGTTAAATGTACAATTTGCCCTGAAACTCTCAAACGGTTAATGCTAATGTGCAGGCATATTCTCCCTCCGCATGTATGCCCATACAAACATATGCATGTATTTTTTAGCACACGCGCACAAATGAATTAATAAAGATTTTAAAACTCTGTAAACGAACTTAATCAAAATGAAATGTTGCAACTGTAGGCTGAAAGAACGTAACAAGGAAGGCCGCATAGTAAAAAATCAACTAAGTAGCTACATTAGCGAGTAGTTAGCTTCAAGTTGAACTCAACGAACGAGTACTAGGCATGTGATGAACGCACAGATTGAGCAAGTGACACCGGCACGTACATATAGGCTAATATGAAAACTGATTACAAGCACACTAGGGTGGTCCAAAAATACATGCGGCGGAAAAAAGTTTAAAATGTTAAGCTCTCACACCGTAGGATTTTTCTACATAAATGGAAAAAAGAATACCCGTATATTGATTTTCAGGAATTCTATACCATTTCTAGGAAAGTGTTTTTCCGCATGGGGCAAAATTAGCGAAGTGTACCAGGAAAAAATTGTATATCAACATTTTGTTTAAACTACACCAATGTGTACAAGAATTTTTTTCTACCACGGTAAAAAAAAATATTGCATAAACCATTTTTATTTTTCTCACAAAAGACTTATTTCCATAGCTTATATTCTAAGCTTTCTAACGATATATAATTTGTAATGGGCGTGGCAAAAGGACTACAAGTTTTTCATAATAGAACATACTCGGGCCCGACTTGCATTTCTGTCGGCAATAACTACGGTTGCCAGACGTACGGATTTTTCAAATGTCGTACTGTGTACTTTTGCATAAAAACATCGAGTTAGATACTCTGCGAATTGTTAGCCCTTCAAAGTTTTTGCGCATTTGAAAAAAGGAATTTAAACCATAATGAAATATGGATGCAGTCTTTAAATAGTTTTACGTTTTCACAGTTAGAAAAAATATGTAATTTTGTTTTTTCAAACGAAGAAACTGAGAGGATCTTAAGTGTTAAGTTTGCTTCCTGGCGCAAAGAGAGAAACCGACTGCTAATTAAAATTGTTGAAAGTAAACTCCAAATTAAAAGTAATTAAAAGTAATTTTAAAATAGCAATTTATTGACTGCTGAGTACAATGATATTATAAGAGTATTTTAGACTACTTGTTAATGTGTACACTCATGTTAAAATGAATAATATTTTTATTTTTTATGAACTACATTTTATTTATATGTATACCAAAATATTGTTAAAAACAATTACCCTGGCGTTTTAAAGTATTTTCTATTACTTACATTCATAATTTTATTTTGAATAAAAGTGTACTGAAAAGTACTGATTTAGATAGCAAGAAAAAATCTAAGTTACTGATTTCACGCACGCAAAAAATCTGGCAACCCTAGCAATATCACAGGTTTCCAAAAATGAAAAAAAAAAATGTCCGACCAGGCGACATATTTATACACACTCTAATGTAAAATTTTCCGCTGAATCCGAATACGAAATCAAAATGTAAAAGATTAGAACAGTTTTTGAGATATAGCGGAATTTCGGGTTTTTGAGATCCGAAAAAAATGCACTCACTTAATTGCAAATTTCTTTGGATATAGTCGGCCAACCGCAAAATTTCTGTACGAATTTTTATGAAAAATCTTCCGCTGAAATATGACATAGAAATAGCCAAGTTTCGAGGTTTTGAGATCTGGGGTGAGAGCTTAACAGTTTAAATTTTTTGTGGACCACCCTGATGTACAGTCAACCATCGTATATTTTTGAAACTCCTAGTGTACGCAGTAACGAACAAATTGAAAAAAAAAAACGAAATAAATGCGTAATAAGCCAATTTCAATTTGTGCAGCAGGCGATGTAAAGTTGATGCGCTGATTTGGCGTACGTAATGTACGCACTTATGGCATCCACCATGGCGTTATGAACTATGTACACATGTGACGGCAGGCAGGCAAATGCTTGGCAAACCATTTGCTCTTAACTTGACTTGTGTATAACCCTGAGAGAAAGAAGTAGAAGCAGCCCTGAAGCATAAAAGAACTTCTTGATTTTTCACCCTCGGCCAGAGCGCTTTAATTCGCTCATAACTACATACATACATAAATATGTATGACTTACAAACTCGTATACCAGCTAGTATGAATGTTCGTTCATACATGTATAGTTTACGAATTGACGTTTACAAACATATGTATGTACATATTTACACATTAATTTACAGCAAACACTTTACTGCAAGTTGACCCAATTTCATACGTCAATTAGCAGTTTGTGAGCGCGGGCAGCTTAAACTTCATGCCCCAGCTCATATGAATTCTTGTGAATCCATGCGATGTACATACATATGTATGAATGTATAAGTAGTACCTTTATTTACAATTCGTAAACACTTACTTACCCTTCTTATGATGTACTTGAGAGGAACTGTTGGAAAAATGTGCTTAATTGCCGATGCCAAATCGGTGAGTATAACATCAGCGTTCTGTAATTAAAAATGCAAATCACACAATGTTAATCTCAAATTGAATATTCTTTGCGCTATACATTCAGTTGAACTTACCGCACTGAAGCTCCCCGCGTCAAAGCTCGTTACAAATGAATATGGGCGATCATTTGTGATGATCGCGAAGTGTGTGGATTTTTTACTTTCTACTGCCTGTATATCCAAATAGTGAAAATGGCATTCGATCTGGAAGAAATAGAAAGTTAATTATTTAGGCAATACACAAGGTATAGCCACTATATCGTACATTTTTTAACGGTGTAATGTGAGCTTAGAGGTTTCGAAACCACAACTAGATACATATATAAATAATTTTAACATTGGGAAAAATGGTATATAATCAGCGTCAAAGATATGCATAGCCTGACGTATTGAGGGTTTTATTTATATTTTCCGTACTAAAGTTTTAATTTTTTTTTTTTTTCAATATAAATACATAATTCATTCAACAGCAAAAACACAATCTTTTTTTAAATGAAAAAAGGTACGCGACAACCTCAGCGAAAACAATTCTCAAAATTCAACGGAAATTTTTAGCGACTGGAAAATTTTTCAAAAATCCGAATCGGAAAATTCGAAATTTGGGTGAAAAGTACTTGGTATTTCTTGCATTTTCCCCCGAGTTATGTATGAAATTAAAAAAAATGGATTCTTGTAGTTTTTACTGTTGAAAAAAATTATATTTTTATAAAACAAATAAAAAAAAATTGGCATGGAAAATATAAATAGTTAAAATCGTCAAAACGTCAGGGCATGTATCCATAATAAGGACTGCGCCAAAAACAACTGACGTCAAACTTTTTTCCATATTGTTAGGGATGGCAGCGATTAATAATTCGATTAAATTAATCGATTGTTTTTGTCCAATTTACAATTTAATTGCTTCGTAGTTTTGTGTTTCATTAATCGATTATTAATCAAATAACTGTAAAATAATCGTCGAAATATTTTAAAGAAATATGAATTCTGTAGTTCTCTGAAATTGCATACAGCCGCAAGAATTGATCAAGTTCCGAGCATACAATGGTGTAAATAGTTGTGCATGTAAGCCCATTGTAAAAGCTCCAAAACTAAGTGTGGCAACGTTAAAGGCCCTGATTTATAGGCGAACCAAATTTTACCCAAAACTTTACGGACTTTTGAAAAAAATACTGGCATTTATAGTGGGTACCTCGGTGGCTGCTGAGCGCCTTTTTTCAAAAGTTGGTGCTACAGACGCAACCATTTAATAACAAAACGCTTATCAAAACTTTTGTTTTTACAAACATGATTAAATAGTAATAGTAAATAGTAATGGAGAAATCTTTTAGTGAATACCCACTGTAAAAAAGTGCTTTTAAAATTCGATTAATTAGTTATTTTTCAATAATTGCAATCAATTGCAATACATTTTTTTTTTGGATTGTGATTAATCATATGATTAATTAATCGATTATTTTATTTTTTTTGCCACCCCTGCATATTGTACTTCTGAGATATTCAAATTAGAATTTTTGTGTCTGCAATAAATAACATAACGTAAATTTTTTATTCCGTTGTTTAGGAGCTATACATTATAATAACTTAATTTCACCCTATAGTAAACTCATGCCCGGTTGCACCAAACAATTTTAAATTTATCACACTGCTAAAATTTAAAATTACACAATTTTGTTCGGAAAATTTGTCATATTAAGTTTCAACAGTCTGATAAATTTTAAAATTGATTGGTGAAACCAGTAATCAGCTATATAACGTATCTAATAAAATTATATAAATAAAGCCGACCTACCTTCGTGGGCACCTTAGCGATTAGCAAATAAATACGAACTGGTGTGAAAACCTGCAAAAAAAAAGAAATAAGAATTTAATTAAATTTATCAATGACCATTAGTTTAAATATAACTTAGATAAAACTAAACAATAAATGCCCACTGGTACTCTTTTCGTGTTTCCTCTTAATCTGCTTGCTGGGTGTCAAAGAGCTCAGGCGTTCGTCTCGCAACACATCGCGGCTGAATGCCTCATACCTAATCCTAATTGCAAAGGCGGGGTATAAGGACAAACAGTCTTCTGCCGTCTCATCGTCTTCAAGGAAGCAAGGGCAAATGCGGTTGTCATACATATATGCCGGTTACAGTCAGGTGTTTGTGAAACGAAAAGTTTGTAGTCAGGAATACCGAAAGTTGTCTGCAGCCCAAACTGCTCAATGAAAGCAAATATAACTGGTTTCGGGCCGAGAAAAAATAGGAAATTCTTAAGACATTTTTAGAGAAATGGATATTGAATAAAGGATTTAATGGGCATATGATTAATTTTTCTGCTTAGACAACAATATAAGAAGACTGGGTATAACGGCTTAATATGTATGTGTTTGTATATGCACTCTGTGTATTACTTTAAGGTAAAGTGCCTGTAGATCTAAGTAACTAACAGTATACTTTTTCGCAAAATTCTTTCATGCGTAAGACGGCAGTTAATCTATTTTATAGCACGCAACAGCATAAAACGTACATATGAACATACGGGTACCTACATACGTACATCCTTCCTTACAGAAATTTGATACTTAATGACATGTTCCGCTTAATGGCACAATTTGCTGCAAATAGTGCTTGAACAGCCTTAGAAATATTCATACACATAATGCTTACGTTCATACGTATGAATATATGTACATTATTACAGCCATGAGCAAAATAATGGAAGCATGATATTTTGACCAGGGCTAGTCATCTAACGTTACAAACTGCCACAAAACGTGATGAAATTATAAATTTCTTTGGATATAATAATAGATATCGTCACCTGTGGAGATATCGACCTATCTCGGCAGGCAGTTCGAAAACGTCCTATCTCAGAAAACTTTTCAAGAACGCCCTACTTCAGAATTTGATTGAAGAACGACCTATCTCAGCACCTTTTCAATGTATTTTCAGCTAAGATAGGGCGTTTTTGAAGCGAATTCTGGGATAGGGTGTTATTAAATAAAATTCTGAAATAGGGCGTCCTTCATTCAAACTATGAAGTAGGACGTTCTTGAAAAGATTTTTGAGATAGGGCGTTTTAGAACTGGCTGCCGAGATAGGTCGATCTTCCACACAGTTGACGTATGCTATAAAACGCCATACCAAAATTTTTTCCAGAAATGTTTATTAGAAAATGGGAAGTTTTAATAAAACTTTGTTGTGATTTTCGTACAAAAATTAAATTTATACACTAAGAGAAAAATATGATTTCTCGTATTTTTATTGTTTACTTTAAATAAGTTTGTTTTTGAGATTTTTTCGTTTAAACACGCTTTTGTTATGCACTACACAGGCGCTTTTGCAAGGGCAAGGGTAAAACTATAAACTTTTAAGTTAGGCACACACATTAAAACTAAACACTACAAGTTCCTTCAGACAGCAATTGAACTTATGACCTCTTGGATTAGTAGCCATCTCTACAGACCCAGTGGAATCAAATTTCATAGTATCGTTGTTCAAACTAATTTATATTTACGTTTGTTTAAAAAATACTTTTTCTATTCAAAAATTATAAATCCCTACTATGGAAAAACCGAAAATCATTTAACTTTTTTCTCAGTGCATGTATGGTCTTTAATTATAAGCTCTACTTTTGTAAAAAAAAACGAATGCACATTAAAAAAAGCGGAAAATGTAAATACTATTCGAAAGCTCGTATTTCTATTATTTTGACCGTATGTGTATCTACAAGCATATGTAGCTCGATTCGTTGTTCCTGCCAAAGGCGTTGAAACGTCTTTACGATTTTTGCCAATGGGCTGCATGCATCGAATAAGATTAAAGCATTTAACGCTTGATTTGCTAATTACTTGCGTTGTGTAGTCTTTTTTTCAAATATCCTTAGCGAAGGTATCAGTTACTAAGCGAAAAGTAGACAGGCGCTTGTTGCTGAACACATAATATACATACATGTACATACATATCTATGCATGAGCATAAACTTGTTATACCTGGGTAAAACTATAAAAATTTAAGTTGAGCAAACACACCCTTGAGTCCTTTAAGCTTTTGAACACTGTCAACGGAAATATTTTTTTTTTTTAGTTTGCCTCTTTACTTTTATTTACTGCTATTTTCACTTACATACACATGTACTTGTAGTTCGGGTTGATACCGTAAAATGTGTATAAAATTACTTAAGCTTCAGCTTGATTAATCCACTTTAGTTTTTAGTTTTCTTTTGAAGACACTAAATATTTTATATTTATTGTACTTCCTATCTTACTGTATTTCGCCTCATTGGAATTTTATTGAGGGATTAATCTTTACACTTTTTTCTTTCGTATTTTCCGAAGTACCTAAAGCAGTGAAGGCCAGAAACCGTTATTTTGTGTACGTCTATATAAATGTATCGACAACTTTTGGAAGCAGACCCGATCTGAAACGACAAAGTGGAATTTCCCTTACATCTTTTCAAAACAGGTAGGAATGTACGGTCGGCGGCGCACAGCGGACACCTTTTCACATCAAAACTACTGCAAGAAATAAGGACTGAGGAGGAGTCTTTGTCTGATGGCTCAATCCTTTAATATTTATCATTTAAATAGTTAACCGTTTTGTTAGCTACCTATTTACTTGCTAATCGAAATCATTGACTTTCTTCTCAATCACCTTTGCCTTGCACCTTAGAGATGCTTCCTCCAAAAAGCAAACCGATACGTTATTTTTAGGTAGGAGTCGCTTTAGTACAGGTTTGGAGCAATGGTGTGTAAATGTAGCGAAACTTACGAGTCCGTCCAGAGAACAATGCGATATGAGACTCCCAGTGGCAGGCGGGGCATACTTATAATATACTTATAATAAAAAAATGGAGCAAGGCATTGGAGCTCGGGCGACCTGTAGGTTAACCAGCCCTTTCGGCTGCCGAACGAATATAGCGTCTTCAAAGCAGAAATCTACGAGACGATCTATAGAGAAGGCGGTTAGCCTCTTACTGAATAGCACGTTTCCAAGCGGGAAAGCTGCTGTCTTTGTCGATAGTCAAGCGGCTTCCTTTGAAAGCAATAGGATCTACATAAGCTAGTGAAATCGCCGTGCCAACGTCACTCTCTGCTGGGTTCCCGGACATTGCAATATTTAAGTGAACAAGTCGGCTGATGAGTTGGATAAATGCGACGTTCGAGGTTCTTATTATTATTGTGGAGAAAGCGACAAGACTGTCAGATCTCAAGATTATTATGGCTGGCGGCTTAGTAGGAAAAAGACAAGACCTTCTGAAACTAAGTAAATAAATCTGCAGCAGGAGTCGTTACTGGTGTCTTAACGGGCCACTGTGCTATCAGAACTCTGCAGAACCTGCCACGATGAGGATGTGAAGCGACCAGTTGATTACTTTCTGTGTCGCCGTTCGGGCCTACAGTCGAAGCGTCTCAAGAAGTTGGGATCACGCTTCTTCAACAGTACGTTGATGCCAAGAAAAAGCCCTAATTTCTCTCTGAATGGGAACCCCGGTTGAGGGAATGTGACTCCTGCTGACACTCACTTAAAGAGAACATTCACTATAGACACTTATGTCCCCGAGTGAAAGTAGGGAAAACATCATATACCCACTCCTAACCTAACATAATCTAGGGTCATTAACTTAACTTTTTAATAGCACAGAGTCTGCTTCTTATCAATCAAAAATTATTATACAGAAACTATTGACGAATTTGCAACAATTTGATAAGTGACGACAATTGGAAATGCCAAGAGAAGCCAGGTCCTCTCCCCCTGGTCTTTCAATCTTAGAGGAGATCTTCTGTTAAAAACATCGCGTAGAACAATTTTAAATTAACGAAAAATTTTAATAAAATTCTTAAATGACGAAAAATGTATGTATAATTTTTAAATTAGTCAAAAATTATGTCCAGGTTTTAAATCACCAAAAATGTTTGCCAGTTTTAGATTTTCAAAGAAATTATGTCGTGTCTAAACAAAAATAATGTCCGGTTTCTAAATTACTAGATTGTGTTTAGTTTTTAAATAACTAAGAATGTATGCACTAGGATCAGTAATCAATTAACCCTAGAAGTACTTTCTTCGTAGAATCGTCGAGTTGACGACAAAAATAAGAAGGTACCCTGGAAGTTAAGGAAATATACTTTTGAGACATAAAATGTTGCTAATTTACCGCCCTATTCCCACAACACTGACAAAATTCATCATATGACTATTGTCACAATTACTGCGCCTAAAACACAATATAAACATTGTTTCGCCGTTGTCACTTACTCAGTAGGTCATAACAATAAAACTGACAATTGTCATACGACAGCTTAAAATAAATTTTCGGCATAGTATTAGGTGCAGTAGTAAAGGCAATAGTCAGCCGCTGAGTTTTGTCAGTGGTATGGGAATAGGGCGGTTAGTTAAGATACTACATATTTATGTATACACAAATATGAACGATATACTTTCATATGAGTAAAATGCAAATGCATATAAGAAAAGTTTGCCATTTTACACAATTTTCCTCAAAATATAGAAATACAATCTATGTTTAAAATCGCTAAAATATTATCTCAAAATGTTTCAATTGTCACAACTTTCCATACAGCTACACCCTTCAATGCTGTTAATGAATTTTGAAAGCGGTAATTTACTTGAAAAGAGTTTCTTTAGCGTTTCAACTACATCTAGTACTTGTCATTCAACGTGTCCGCTCCTATCTCCGAAAGTATCTCGCCTTCAATGAAAGCGTCCATTGTCATCACTGTTGCGACGGTGACTGAAGAACACTCGTTTTCGGCAGCACTCTCAAAACTTTATGAATTTTGAATGAACATTGACGTTGACACTTTGTAGTTGGTCCGTGTAGAACAGCAGTCAACAGCAGTTTCGCCGCT